TATATGTAAATATATGTGAATGTTTGTTTTTTTAAGGAAACTATGGAGAAAAAGGCTTTGAAGAATTGCAGAAATCTGTCAAAGACACTGATATATGCATTGCTTTTCAACACAAAGTCAAAAGTTTAGCAGACACCGAAGAGTTTGACAGAATCATCAACTCGATACGGTCATTAATAATTACTGTCATTTACTTTTTTATTCTTTAACTCTTTTTTCACTTTCACTCGTGCAATAAAGTTGAAAAAAATAAAAAAAGAAGAAAAGTCCAATTTTGTTTTCAAATTTATTACCTCAACTCTAACTTTTTTTTGCTTTCGTACGCTTTTCGCCAACTCAAACGTCACTTCTATCGTTTACTATAACAAAATTTTGTTAAATTGAGGAAAAAAATCTTCTTTGCATTAAAATTCTTGGTTTTTTTTGTATTAGCAAAAAAATTATGCAGAGTTTTTGAAGTGTTTTTGAAAAATAGAAAGAAAAAAAGAACAAACACAAAAAAGATAATTGAAATATAGTCAACTGTTTATTAGTAAAGGTAATAATGTTTTGAACGATTTACAGCGAGGTACCTGGTAAATTACAAGTAGTTGTATGCTTTTGTGAGGGCCGAACAATTCACAACATGTTTCGAGCTCAACAAAAACTACGGCTAAATGATACAGCAATCAAGCGATATCAGTGGATCGGCAGCGACGGTTGGGCCGATAGACCAGACGTGGTTAAAGGCGTTGAAGAAGAAGCTGCCGGCAGTTTTTCTATCAGGTAAGAAAAAACTGGAACTTTTTTGCTTTTTTCTTTTATTTTATTGACTTTTAACAACAATATTTGTGACTTTGAAATATTTTCTTTTAGCTTTTATCTATTTTTTTAAATGGCTAAACTACCAATTTTCTTGACTTTCAGCTTTCCAAAAAAAACTCATTCAGTTTAAAAGTGCATTATTGGTGCCAATAAGACGATTAAATAAAAAAATGCTAAATGTTTTTAAGTCAGTTTATTAATTTTCATTTTCTCTTTTTTTGTTTTTTCATTTTTAGAATACATTCACCATATGTTGACGAATTCGACAGTTACTATCGCTCTCTAAATCCTCAAAATAACCACGATAATCCTTGGTTTGCCGAGTTTTGGGAAGAAAACTATCACTGTCGTTTGACAGTGGCAACAGCCAAATCAAAAGAATCTTTCAATGGTACTGGTGAATGTAGCAGCAATCTAAGCATTACTGATTATATTCAGGTTTATTCTAATTTTTAATACTGTAGCAATAACAGCAAATTTTAAGTGAAATAATGACTGAACAAACCTTGAGTTGATAATTTAGTATAGAAGAGTAGTATATAGAACAGAAAATAACGTAAAACTTCAAAAAACTTACTGGATTTTGCTTTAAAATCAGAAAAGACAGTTTACTTACTTTAGTATTCATAGTGGCACTCCTTCGTTGTTGCAGAAACTTTTAAGTGATTCCTTAACTGTTTACAGTTTAGGATGCTAAGTTAAGTCAAGTAGCGAATTCGATACGTGTAGTTGCTTATGCCTTACGTAACATGTTCTACGACAAGTGCCCTGACAACAAGACACTTTGTGAGGAGATGAAAAATATTAACGGGACTATACTGTACAAATATATGTTGAATGTCACATTTGTTGATCAGTTCGGACAAGAAATGTACTTCGACTCAAATGGTGATCCACCAGCGTGGTAACTCATTTTTTTTTAAAATATTACCTGTAACAGCACTTTGTTTAACATAGTTCTTCTTGTTTTTATTAACCTCTTTCTTATCAGATGATAAAATCGGTTATAAGAATTATAGCGTTCTAAAATTTCTGTTAGTTATTACTGCTTTCATTTTATTGAAGGTACGATGTTCTAAATTACGTTGGCATTCAAGGAGGGTTTCAAACAGTAGGTGAATATCGAAAAAACCGAGGAAGTGGTTACAGGCTAGAAATAAAAAACAGAGTCATTTTTTCTGACACTGCATTCCGTGATTCATCTGGTAGGGTTCCGGTTTCAGTATGCAGCGACGAATGTGGTTATGGCCAAAAGGTATAACTGTTTGAATGACATAAAATTTGCAAGCAATCTAACTTTTTAACAATTCAGAAAAGTACTACACATGGATGTTGTTGGACATGTGATAATTGTACCGAAACTCAGATCGTCAACTATACAGTCAATGAGTGTCAAACATGTCCTCCTGGTACTTGGCCAAACGATCATAAAACTGGTTCTTTTATTTTACTTTAATTCATGCTTAAAGTGTAAAGTTGAAAGCCTTTTTTCAGTTAATTTTGAAATTAACAATCTCGTTTTTTCAAAACCTTTTTTAAGTGCAACAGCGACACAAATTTTTTATTAAATTTTATAACACAGAGAGAAAGTTTTATCAAAATATTTATTTTAGCTTGCTACCAGCTGAAGGGGGAAGCACTGTACTGGTTTGAAGCAAAAGTAGTTTGTGCCTGGATCTTGGCATTGGCTGGCGTCATTGTTACCATTCTGACCACAGTTGTTTTTGTTCGATATAACCATACTCCTGTTGTTAAATCAACCACTCGAGAGCTTTCTTACATTATATTAAGCGGTAGGTTACATTTCAAAATTTATTTCCAAATTGAAATCTGTTTTGTTTGAACTTAGTAAAGCAAAAAAAAGCAGTGGTAAATGTAATTTCACTGAAAGCAAGTATATATTCAAATAAACGTTAGTTGAACTTAGCTTAAAACAGAAAAATCCAGAAACTTTTATTATCACTCCGCTCAAACCGTAGAACTTTTGAAAATTTTGCATATTTTTCAACTTAAACTTATAAATTTTAAGGTATAATGGCGTGCTATGCTGTAACATTTATTATTCTTGCTCGGCCTACCTTTATATCGTGTTTTTTAACCCGCATTATTCCCCCAATTGCTTTCTCCATCATCTATTCAGCGCTGTTGACCAAAACGAATCGTATTGCACGAATACTCGCAGGTAGCAAAAAAAGGATATTAACTAAAAAACCGCGTTTTTTAAGCACCTCTGCTCAGGTAATACAGTTCTTACATAAATGTTAAATCTTCCTTTTTTTGTTAACGTTTACAAGATCACTTAGATTCACTGGAACTGTTTTGTAATCATAGTACTCAAAAACTGCCTTTTTTTACCACTTCTAAATATTGAACTTATACAGGTAGTGATAACATGGCTTCTAGTTGGAGTTGAGTGTTTGATTGTGGCGGTTGGAGTAATGGAGGAAATGCCACAAGTAGGTTATATCTACAAACCGCGCAGAATGTTCGTCATATGCTCATCGACAACCGCAGCGTTTTTGTCGCCTTTTCTTTGGGATCTGTTTTTGATTACTTTATGTACTTTATATGCTATTAAAACGCGTAATTTGCCAGAGAACTTCAACGAGGCTAAATTCATTGGATTCACCATGTAGGCAACCCTTTTAACTTTATTATGACAGTACATCAGATGACACTTATTTCGATGTCATTAGTTTAGTTTGGTCTTTCGAGAGGCTTTGAAGGGAGCACTATATCTGACAGTTGGAATAACAGTAAAAAACTCAAATGATCAATCTTCTTTTTTAGAATAATTGAAAAAATACTGACGTATGAGATTAAAAACTTAAAAATTATTCAAAATTGGGAAAAAAAAATATTTTTTGGGTTTTACGGCGATGTAACGGATTGGGAATAATTCTTGGTAACAATCGGTTTTGGTTGGTAAACTAAAATTTCTCGTCTATTTTATTCTTAGGCTTCAGGCTTTCTGAATGATTAATGGTTTGAAATAGTTTTTGCCCAATGCAAAGCAACACTCTTCCATTGCGAAATTTCTTGTATTTCTAAAGTCAATTCCATATTCTTCTGACCTTTTTTATGTATATCCACTTAACATTGCAAAGGCAAACAATAAATTTGCACATTAATATGTTTCAGGTACTGCACCTTAGTAATATGGATAGCTTTTATAGTACTTCATTTCAATGCGACCAATAAAGCTCTCACAATGAGCTTCTCATTTAGTATCTCAGCAACAGTAGCACTAAGTCTTTTATTTTTTCCAAAATTGTATATTATCTTAGTTCATCCTGAGAAAAATGTCCGTTCAAGCTATACAACTACCAAATTAATTCGCTGTCACTTTGGAAATTCTCAGGGAACAGACAGCAAACATATTTCATTTTCTAAAACTGGAACGAGTCAGCATTCAGCTTCCAGGTTAGCTTTTTATATTCTAAAAATTTTACTAATTTTTTTTCCATTCATGTAACTAAATAAGTTTTTCTTTCATTATACATTAATAAGGTTTTCTACCGTCCAACTTACAAAAAACGCTATTTTAGTTTAACTTATCCGTTGAGGACAGCATCTGTGCGACTGAGTCAAACATCATCGCAAGACGCTTCGACGCAGACTAATTCAGTAAGCTCTCCAACGCGTATAGGCAGAAGTTTTTCAATTTTACGGCATCGTCGAAGCAATAAACCTCTTGATGACGAAATCTTAGAGCTCATTGAATGTTGCCGAAGATACCAGGTGAGTAACTTTCTAGAAAATTTAGCACTATTTTTTAAGTGCTGCTTTAAGAAATCAATTTTATTTAACCTCTTACGCGGTACACACACAAACTTAATTAGTATAAAACGTCATTGAAAAAAAAACATTTTCTGCGTTGAAAAAAGTTAATGGGCAAGCTAATATGTACGTACACTCATAAAAAATTGCAAATTTGAGCACAGATGCACAGAGATTTGTAAACATAGAAATAGATACGTTTGAGCGTGACACAGAAAACCGTAAATATTACTTTTATGCCGAAACAATGTTACAAAAGATCAGGTCTCCTAAAAAAAATGGAGTGAAAAACTGAGAGTCTTCTCGCATTAATTAGTGGGCTTGAATGTTAAAAACAGAAAAAGTAAACGTAAATTTGAAAGAAATATATACGGTTAAATATTTGGCAATTTTTTACGAACATAATCGTCAGAAACTAAACATTCCTTATGCTGCTGAAAAATTGCAACAACATAGGAGCAGAATTTAAAGAGTTATAAAACCAACAGAAAATTTGATCTTCCAACGTTGAGAAATTGTACAGACTTTGTCAATCTGGAAAGAGAAGCTGGTATTGCCTTTTTTAATGAAATGATTTGTGCTACAGCAAACACATTACTAACAAAGGCAAAATGCAGTTTTTTTCACTGAAATTTCGTTCTGTTATTTAGCTTCAAAATTTGTGTTGAATATTTGAAAATTAGAATGTAAGGACAAGTTATAAAAGTTGAAAAATCAGAAGGACGTCACAGTTTGTTTTAGGTCACAGAAATGAAGTGAAATGTTTACTCAAAAACAAATCAAAAGCTAAACTTTTAATTTTTCAATTAAGAAGAAATCCTGTGTATAGACCTTCTTTAGTCGTCAGATAACATAAATGTTAAGCTGAGGCAGCACCGCGCTTGCAAACGTGCGAGATTAGGATTTAATGGATAAAATATTTTAAAACGAAAAATTTTTCACTTGGTTAACTTAGACCTAAAAGCCGGATTCTGTGAAAATGAAAGTAGAAACCGTGCAGATGAAAGCGTTTTTTAAGATTTTCCATTATTTTTTTCTTGACAGTCCATCTGTTTACTGTTGCACCAAGTTAAAATTGTACTACAGTGAATAAAAAAATTTACAGTAAAAATTAAAATTTTAAATAAAGCAATCGAAGGTAAGGCAAAAAACTTTTAAGTCAATTAGAATCTTTCTATTTTTGTATAAAACACATTAGGTTACAAGCTTTAAAAATTGATTATACTCGCTCAAATTTTTTTCTTTGAGAAAGTGTTTAATTTGTCGTTTGGTAAACTACTTTCGTCGTGAAATAATTGAGCTGCACTTGTTCAAATTTTTGCGCTTTCTTGTTTGTATAGATAAAGACTGTGAAAACCAAACGATTTAGCAAGCAAAAAATGTTAAAAAAAGAACTTTGAAGTGGTAGACAAAAAAATATTAGAAAAAAAGTTATATTTACGCTTTTTAGACGAAGTGATAATTAAGCTGGTATAATGACTGGTCAAAAGGATGACATAAATCTGAGATTTCCATAACAGATTTCAATTATCTTTAATATTGAGATTAAATCAGAAAACTGAAAAATTATTTGTTTTTTTGCCTTCTTGGTAAAACGAATCTGTGGAAACAGAAAAGTTCTGTAAGATGTAAGTGTTGGTCGGCAATAGATTAGTGTTAACAGGGGAGTACGCTGTTAGGAACAATAAGTGAATCGACTATTAAGATGTCTTTACGCAAAACGACAGTATATTGTACAGTGAACTTTTGAAAAGAAACCTGTGATTTCTGGTAAAATAGTACATTATAGAAATATCTTTGTTAATTCTTTGTTATTCAACTACACGTTAATAGAAAAAAAAAACAAGAAGCATCAAAGCTGTTTACACAGTTATACTTCCTCTCTGACTGCTATTACATATTTAAAACTTTGACTGACCTATTTCTTGTATCTGTAAATTTAAAGCTTTATTCTTCTTACAGGATGCTAAAGCACAAAGCTCTACCTCAAATTTTGTGATTGAAGAAAGTCATGACGACGAAGTTAGAAGCTTACTGGCTGGTTCAATTGAGCAATCGGTTAAAACTGTTCTTAGTGCTGTTGCTGGAACTCGTGGAGACTCAAGCGGAAGTTCGGAATTTGAAGAGGTTTATTTTCCAGCATTATTTTATCAATTAAACCGTTTCTTTGCTTTCTTTATTAGATATAATGCTGTAAAGATGTTAAAGCGAAAAATTCCTTCAAACTGCTTTGTCAACAATTGTTGGTGATGATCGCTGAAATAAACAGTGATGCTGTAAGCAGTCAAAAGTGATGCTGTAGCAAAATTTTTATTGTTATTCTTTTTTTTAACTCTTTCTTTCACTAAAACAATTTTTCCACTCTTCCAGTATTTTGTTAAACTACTGTTGACATCGGGTTGTACAGATTTGCTGTATTTCAGTTGCTCAGAAGCCGAGGACTAACAGCGGTGGATTTAAGTAAACCGACAAGCTTATGATTAGGAAAAAAAAAGCAAACCAACATTGCCAATTAAAAAGGATTCTCTTGATCACCTCAGCTTTCGTTTATGTGCCTTGATTTTTTTTTGTTTTTTTTTTTTTTTTTTTTTTTTTTTT